GTAAAGAAGAAAAACGGGGCTGATCGCCTTTGTGTTGACTACCGCGAATTGAATTCGAACACAATTTCCGATAAGTATCCATTACCACTTATATCTGACCAAATTGCCAGGTTGCGGGGAGCAAATTAATTTTCTTGTTTGGATATGGCGAGCGGATTTCAACAAATCCCTGTTCACCCAAAATCAATTGAACTCACTGCTTTTGTCACGCCAGAAGGGCAGTATGAATTTTTAACTATGCCCTTTGGACTCAAGAATGCTCCATCGGTTTTCCAACGAGCTGTGATGAAAGCATTAGGGGACCTTGCATACTCGTATGTCATAGTGTATATGGATGACATTATGATTATTTCCTCAACAAAAGAGGAAGCGTTTGAAAGATTAGAGGTGGTGTTGAATGTTTTGACAAAGGCTGGGTTTTCGTTTAATATTACTAAATGTTCTTTTCTAAAATCGAGTGTTGAATATCTAGGATATGAAATTAAAGCCGGAGTGATTCGACCCAACCCACGTAAAATTCAAGCATTAACAGCTCTACCACCACCTCAATCTGTTCACCAGTTAAGACAATTTATAGGGTTGGCTTCGTATTTCCGCCAATTTGTAGCAAAATTTTCACAAATAATGAAATCACTGTACTTTCTTGTCTCTAATAAAAACAATTTTATTTGGAAGTCAGAGCATGAACAGATACGACAGCAGATAATTTCTATATTGACAAATAAGCCAGTTTTAATCATTTTTGATCCGCAATATCCAATCGAATTGCATACAGACGCTAGTGCCGATGGCTATGGTGCTATTCTGTTACATAAAATTAACAATAAGCCACATGTTATCGAATATTATAGTAAAAGAACTTCTCCTGCGGAATCTAGATATCATTCATATGAGCTAGAGACTTTGGCCGTCGTTAACTCGATTAAACATTTTCGACACTATCTGCAAGGGCACCAATTTGTTGTAGTCACGGATTGTAATTCTATCAAAGCATCGCGTACCAAAAACGATTTAACACCGAGGGTCCATCGTTGGTGGGCCTATCTGCAATCCTTTGATTTTGTAGTTGAGTATGCAGAAGGTAAACGGATGGCTCACGCAGACTTCTTTTCTCGTAACCCATTGCCCTCTGATAATCCGCCAGTTACGAGAATTCCAGAGAAGCATGTCAATCTTGCAGAAATTTCGGAAGATTGGCTCCTTGCAGAGCAACAACGGGATCCAGAAGTAGCTTCTATTGTTTGCAAGTTAAGAAATAAAGAACTTAACAGAGATGTGGCGAATACATATGAACTGCGTGCGGGCACATTGTATAGAAAAATACAAAGAAATGGCAAAACGAAATGTTTACCAGTTGTTCCTAGACTTTTCAGGTGGTCCGTAATTAATCATGTGCATGAGTCAATTATGTATTTGGGTTCAGAGAAGACACTTGACAAGGTTTATGAATATTACTGGTTCGATAAAATGTCTAAGTACGTTAGAAAATTTGTTGAAAATTGTATAACCTGCAAGCTATCTAAATCACATACAGGCAAAATACAAGCAGAACTGCACCCAATTCCTAAAGCTAGCATTCCATGGCATACCGTTCACATCGATATTACTGGCAAATTGAGCGGTAAGAATGACCTTAAGGAATATATTATCGTGCAAATTGATGCATTTACTAAATTTGTTTATTTATATCATACTATAAATATTGACAGAGAAAACTGTATTAGGTCCCTCAAGTCATCAATTTCACAATTTGGTGTGCCTACTCGTGTAATTGCTGACCAGGGTAGGTGTTTCGCTAGCAAAGGGTTCCGAGATTTTTGTTCCTCACAAAATATTAATTTACATCTGATTGCTACAGGTGCTAGTCGTGCTAATGGACAGGTAGAGAGAGTAATGAGTACGTTGAAAAATCTGTTAACAGCAGTTGAAACAAGCCAATGCTCTTGGCAAGATGCACTGGGCGAAATTCAACTGGCACTCAATTCCACGGTCAATCGGGTTACAAAGGCTAGTCCATTAGAGTTACTAATAGGTAAAGAGGCACGGCCGTTCGGTTTAATTCCAATTAATTTAGAAGAAAACAGAGTCGATGTTGATTTATTAAGAACTCAAGCAACTAAAAATATACAGGAAAATGCTTGTTATGACAAGAAAAGATTTTATAAAGGTAAAGCGAAAATTGTTAGACATAAAGTTGGCGATTATGTACTACTTAAAAATGAAGAGCGACATCAGACAAAATTAGATCCTAAGTTCCGTGGTCCGTTTTTGGTGAATGAGGTTTTGGATGGAGACAGATACATATTGAAATCTTTGAGTAGCAAAAGGACATACAAATACTCACATGAACACTTGCGTAAGCTTCCGGAGGAAAAAATTGCTAATGACTTAAACATGAGCGATGTTGAAAGTTCAATTGAGCCTGTTAGAGATGAAGACGTTGAAAGAGACGTTACTGGTGATGAAAACGTTGAAAGAGACGTTACTGGTGATGAAAACGTTGAAAGAGACGATATTGGTGATGAAAACGTTGAAAGAGGCGTTATTGACGATAAAGACGTTGAAAAAAAGACGTTAAAAAAAAAAATAATAATAATAATAAAATAAAATAAAATAATAAAATAAATAAATAAATAAAACGTGTTATGTCAGCTATTTCATTAAGACCTGATTTCAAAAAGTTTACTCCTAATAATA